TGTGGCTGTCTGGAGGGGTGGGATAGGGAGGGTGGGAGGGAGGGAGACAAAGAGGGAGGAGATATGGGAACATATGCATATGTATAACTGACTCACTCTGTTATAAAGCAGAAACTAACACACCATTGTAAAGCAATTGTACCCCAATAAAGATGTTAAAAAAAATTTAAAAATAAAAAAAAAAGAGATACTGGAGTGGGACTTCCCTGGTGGCACAGTGGTTAAGAATCCGCCTGCCAGTGCAGGGGACACAGGTTCGAGCCCTGGTCCAGGAAGATCCCACATGCCACGGAGAAACTAAGCCGTGTGCCACAATTACTGAGCCTGCACTCTAGAGCCCACGTGCCACAACTCCTGAAGCCCGTGCACCTAGAGCCCGTGCTCTGCAACAGGAGAAGCCACCGCAATGAGAAGCCCGCGCACCACAATGAAGAGTAGCCCCTGCTCGCCGCAACTAGAGAAAGCCCGCGGGCTGCAATGAAGACCCAACGCGGCCAAAAATAAAATAAATAAAAAATCAATTAATTAAAAGAAAAAAGAAATACAGATTTGCTCTTAATCTCTGCTCCTGGCTCACAGCTACTCACAGCTCCTTGGAATTTCCTGAGTGATAAGAGCAATGGGAGCATCTTTTGTTATAATAGTTGGTCTTCTGCTATCAGTTCCTGAAATAGCTCCAGAGCCATAAAGGTGAAAGGAGTGTGTTATTCATAATAAACTCCTTTCAACCACACCTGAGGTTATATTAATAAGATAACTTATGGAAAGCCCTAAGGATGGAGGGCTGGTTGCCAGGGGAACCAACAGTGATTACAGGTTGGAACTTTCAGTCACACTTCCCTGACCTCCAGGGAGGGGAGAGAGGCTGGAGGTTGAATCAATCATCAATGGCCAATGATTTAGTCAATAATGTCTATGTAATGAAGCCTCCATAAAAACCCAGAGGACAGGGCTCAGGGAACTTCTGGGATGGTGAACACACAGAGGTGCTGGGAGGGTGGTGCGCTCAGAGGCATGGAAGCTCAGCATCCTTTCCCCATACCTTGCCCTCTGCATCTCTTCCATCTGCCTGTTCCTAAGTTATATCCTTTTATAGTAAACTGGTAATCTGGTAAGTAAAATGTTTTCCTGAGTTCTGTGAGCTGCTTTAGCCAATTAATTCAACCCAAGAAGTGAGTTGTGGGAACCTCTGATTTATAGCCAGTCAGAAGCACAGGTGACAACCTGGACTTGTGACTGGTGTCTGAAGCAGTCTTATGGGACTGAGCCCTTAGCCTGTGAGATCTGATGCTATCTCCAGACAGATACTGCCAGAATTGAGTTAACTGCTTGGTGGTGCTGGAAAAAGCACACATCAGAAGCAGGAAATACAGAGACTGCACGTGACTAACTAAAAATGTGAGCTGGCCAATCTTTGCCATAGGAGGTCAGAGGTCAACAGACGTTACTATTTGAAAATGAAACTTCACCTCTCTCCATGGTTCTCTCTGGGGTGGCCTGGAGTGGGGGGCTCTGGACTCATAACTGGGTCCAAGTTGCAGTTTTGTCACTCAGCAGCTGGGGACCCCTTGAGTAAATTACTTCAATCTTTCTGTGCCTCAGTTTCCTCATCTCTAAAGTGAGGATGAAAAGAGAACCTCTTCTAGAGGCCTATAAAGTGCTTAGAGCAATACTAAGTGTTTGCTGCCAGCATTACTTCGTCTATGTATTTGCACTTGTCACCTAACTGGGCAGAGTCTGCCTTACCTCAGTTTTGCTATAAAACTGCCCTTGGGCCTGTGCATTCTCTCATCTACCATGGTGTCATCTGTTGGTGAGGGGTCAGCAATGCCCTCCAAAGCCTGCCACACATTCTCACTGACCCACATGAAATCAGCCTAAAGAGGTCATTGGGAGGCATCTGGTCCAAGCCCATCACTGTCCAGATGGGAGCAGTGAGGTTCTGCATGGCATCTGGGCTGCCCCGTCCACAGGCCTCCCAAGGGAGCCTAACGTGATTCTCGCACAAACACTCTACCCAGTAAGTTCTTGTGCCCCAATTTCTCCAGAGAGATCTCTTGTCCATCTGGCTAAAGAAGTAGGTGAGAAAAATCCACACTGCGATTTTAAAGAGGGTCAAATGCTTATTACGAGTGACTCCATTCGAAAGATAGCAACGAAAGCATTTTTAATTCTTTTTCTTTCTCCCCAAACCTCCAGCACTGGGAAAAAAAAAAACAAAACCAACCAGTTCTTTGAAAACTGAACCAAACACAACAGTTTTATGGACAATGCTTAAGAGGCAG